AGAAGATTGCAGTTTAGTTCCTCAGTTCTCATTTTAAAGTATAATTTCCAATATTTTGGACAATCCAGAATTTAATATCATGCCCAGACAAAAATATTAGCTATATTTCCAGGGAGGCAGCATTGGATAGGTATTAGAATCCTTTGCCATAACTACTTGTTAACTGTGCAATCTTACACAAATTACTTGACATTTCTGTATCTCAATGTTCTGATCCATTAAATGTAGATAATAGTACCTACCTCATGAGATTGCGATCAGAGTTAAATTTAGTAATCTACACAAATCATTTCCACACTGAAGAGAATATAGCCAGCAATCAATAAATGCTAGCTGTTGCCCACACAACTATATAATTAAATAAAGCCTGAGTGCAATAACCAGTGGCAGCAACACTCTTTAGGACCAATTTTCTCTTATATAATTTAATTTTATTTTCAAATGTGTGTTTTTAGACAATTTTGAAATGTGTGAAATGAAAATATAGATGAGAGGAATACAAGATTCCAGACCGAGTTCCTTCCATATAAAAGAATGCTACCTTAGGGACCGGGGAGTTAGCTCAGTTGGTGAAGGACTGAGCCATGCATGCATGAGGACCTGAGTTTGGAGCATCAGGACCTGGAGGCAGCACTGCATGCCTGGAACCCCAGCTCTGTAGGAAACTGGAGGATCATGAGAGACCCTGTCTCAAGGGAATAAGATAGAGAGTGGTAGAGCAGGACACTTGACTCTGGTTTCTGACAGCATGCAGGGATGCACTCATCTGCATACACCACACACACATACACTACACATCATACATACACACGCCAAAAAAGTAAACAAACAATTGAAGAAGTCATCTGAGGTCATCTAAGGTTATCTGGCCTCTACACATACTTACACACAGGTGCTTGTGTATGCACATGTCCTGTACTACAGACAAGAATACACACACACACACACACACACACACACACACACACATACACACACACCAGTGCTAACATTTAGGAGAAATGACAGAAAATAAATATATGTATCGCTCAACTATTATTTTACTTCCAGTAATAATAATGCCATGTAACAAATTATCCCAATTTTCAGTTTGCAACACGTTATTGATCCTCATGCTCATAGGTCTGCAGATTGTCAGCAGGTCAGGTAATATAGACTGGACTCAGCTGGATGATTCTATTTCCAACTGTGAGTTACTTAAGCTTGGCTTCAGGGCTCCTCTTTGGGTTCAAGTCTGCTCTACTTACTACTACGAAAGCATTTTCTTACCATGACAAATGGTGGGAGCATAGACACAAACCCATTTATGCAGCTCATTTAAGCCCTTTGCTCATTTTATACACTAGTGTTTCATTGTCCAACTCAAGTCACATGGCCAAGTCCAATATCAATGGAGTCTAAGTATTTCCTGCCCACAGAGGAAGGACACCGAGATAAAATAATCCTGTTATAGGGGACTGAAGAAGTAGGACCAGAATTCAGTCTGCAAACTGCTGTGTTTCATTCTGTCTACTTTGCGTGTATCTATAAGTCTGGAGACCTTTGTAAGAAGGGAACAGCATACAGGCAGTCAGTGCACATCAGATGGCTTCCTTGGGACCAGTCACAGACTTAATCCGATTTACTCCCCATTCTCTTTTCATTTCTATCCATAGTTCATGAAGTGTACTAAAAGTATCAAGATAACATTGAAGGCCCTGATGTTGGGATTTTACCCTTGCAAATCTCTCCCAATATGGAATTAGACATGCACTGCATTCTTATCACAGTCCAGCCAGTGGGACAGTCCTTTCTCTTACATAAATCCATTTTGCAAGAGGAGTCACTCTTTTTATTTATGTAAACTTTCAGAAACACATTTTTCAAATAGCACATGCTTACTAAATATGGATTAAAAGACTGAGGGTCAGAAATAATAGCGAAGTAAGAAGAGCACAGCAGAAGAATTCTTGCGAGTTAATGTACTTCTCAGTGTGAAAAAGTACAATGTTCTATCACACGCAACATAAATGCTATGAAAATGTGTTCTCTAAATATATGATCCTAAAGATGTGTTAACTAAGAGAATTTAGCTATTTAGAAGCTAGATTTTGTGAGACATTTTTAAACTCACAAAATAGCTGACACTTCCCTGTAGGTATTGATTCACATATATTGTAAGTCTTTTAAAATCCCTTCTAAAAACACAAGCATATGCACCCCATTTCACTTAACTTTTTATTGTTTACATGCTTCCTGAGAAACAGCTAGATGGACAAAGCTGAATGAAAAGAAAGCTGGTCCCTATCAAACACCTCGGGGTAACTAAGTAATGCGATTTGTGCACTCCCCCTTCTCCCTGCCAGTAGAGGTCCACTGTTGCACTAAGAACTCATCCACAGGAAGCGTTTAAAATGAATGGGAATTTAGAAGCCAAGCAACACACTGCCCAAGTCCACGACAAAGCAACCCTTCTGCATTGGCTCCCCCTGCTGGATTAGAGCATGCACTGTCTCTGAAATCGAAAACAGTGTACCTGAAGGTTTTCAGCTGAGGGCATGCCACTCAAATGGCAAATAGAGCCTGCTTCCAGAACAAGTTCACTCCATGGTAAACATGCCAGGTGATCTCTGAGTTTGCTTTCCAAGGGCAGAAATATTCAAGTAGAAAACTGTGCACTCAAAGTGGAGAAGAAAAGCATGCCACTGGACTGTCTGCTAGGGAGTGAGGGGATATGCATGCTGAATGCATAGCAAACTCAGGAAGGCAGGTTAGGTAAACCACCATAAGGGTTATCACTAGAGTGTTCGTTTGGGGCTCTGAGCTTGAATTTCCTCTTCACGCATTTAAAGCTTCTAGAACCAGTTCCTGGCAGTGCTGTGGCTAATTGTTTCTTTTCCCCTGCTTGTCTTTTTTACTTAAGAGTGCTGTCTGTCCTCACTCTCTAAGGGACATGGCAACCACACTAATTTTAAAGGCAGCTTGTCACCTACAGATGCCAGGCCTATTATGAAATCTGTATTGTGAAGTCTGTATGTTATGGAGAAACTGGCAGATTTTTCCTAACTTGACTCAGTCCATTTGGTAACAAGAAAGGGAGAAATTTGTGGCACACACTCCTGCACCAACTTGGCCTTGTTAAGGGAACGGGAACTACCGTGATGACTATTTCTTACAGAAAGCAAAAGCCAGTGCTGTCCCATCATGAAGAACCACAGCTAAGAACACTGCAGGTACCTGGGTGATGCTTGGAAGTTTGCCAGTTACAGCACTGGATTTAAGAACACCCAGAGTCATCCCAGCTTCTCACATTCAAAATTACATTGCATCCCTCATGTCAGATGGCCAAGGCTGAGCGAATTCTCAGTATATTTAGATATTCATCGATTGCATTTTTCCCTAATCCAGAAAATGTCTTCAATGGGCTTTTTTGTTAGAGCATCTTGATACATTGCTTTTCCAGTAATTCTAAGGTTTCTGTTTTTCATGGTTAATAATCCAGGCCCCCTTTGGAGAGGACTCCAAGCCTCTTGCCTTTGCATTAAGAACCAAGTAGAACGTATGAAAGCAGTACAATTATAATCCCAGCACAAGCATGTTGCAGGTTCAAGGTCAGACCAGGCAACATAGTGAGACCCTGTTTCAAAAAAAAAAAAGAAAAAAACAACACAATACATGACACAGGTGCCCTTACATAACATGCAAGCAAAACACTCATACACCTAAAATTAAAATAATAAATAAAATATTGTTTAAAAAAAAAATCAAACCGAAAAAAAAAAAAGTGAGTAATAGCAGATGGTGGTAAGAAGCCAAAACAAACACTGGAAGCAGACAAGCATCAGTGACTTGGGCCTCTTTATGGGTCAGGAATGGAAAAAGCTCAGCTGGGTGAACCTTCTTGCCCCTGTGACATTGACTAGGGTGGCACTCTGCATTCTACAGGCAACTGGGTAGGACCAGAAGGTACTACAAAATTTTGCCCATGGGTCTGCCCTTCAGTGCTTGACCTATGCCCTTCTCTGTCCAAGGCAGTCAACCTTAATTGCAATAAAGTTACAGCTGGCTATCCCCCAAGGAGAAAGCAGAAGCTGTTGCTCTGCTGGAGGCAGCTCAGAAGTCTCAGAACATCATTCCTACCACAGTCCATTTGTATAAACAAATGACAGCACCAAGCAGCGTTCCACAGAAGGGAGACGATAGACTCTGCTCTTTCAGAGACAAAGATCTTTGACCATCTGTATCTCGTATTAATATAGACTGTTAAGTTCTGCTTGTAAGTTTTCTGAAGCACATGTTTTACATTTTGTTCCTGTGTCTTTATATAAATTCGAGTATAAAAAAGTGTTTTGGAGACTCTCTCAAAAATTAATTACAAAGTCAGGCTTCTACTTGCCTTTGAAAATATTTTTTTTTCTACACCTGAATTCACAGCTATAGAACATATTTTAAGACGAACAATTTCAGTGGTTGCGAGTAGACAGTCTACATTTCAGCTTCTCATTTTTTCAGAGTTATACAGCAGATCAACATAATCAATTCAAGACAAAACAATTCCTAGCATAAATGTATTCAACCATTATGTACAAGTTACTTGAAAATAAAAGTTTTGGGAATAGATATCAAACAGAAGCATAGAGGATATAGAAAACCAACCACGTTCTCTTACTCTGAGCTTGTTGCTTTATTCAAAGGAGAAAAGCAGATTGGAAATGAAACATGTATGACATTTTTGGAAATGCCCAAAAAAGAGAGAGATGTTAGCACTATTGCTGACTGGATGTTATCTACTGTAGTTCAACATTTCCTCCAGCAAATCAGGAGATCAGGGACTAGTATAAATGCACTATTTATGTGGGTAATTTTTCTGTTTCCTGCCTCCAATTCATCCCTCTGCTGTGCTTTATGGGGAGTCATGCTACGTTGGTTGCAATTAATTTCAGTGCTGTATATTAGCCATAAAGAGATATTTCATATATTGACTTGATTTGTTTCCCCCCCCTCTGTGGTTTTCTTGAAAGATGAGAATGGTCCAGAGGAAAAGCAAAGTGCGGAAGAAACGGAAGGGCAGAGCCAAGAAGCAGGTGGGCTCAGATTTCTTTTGAGGAGTCTCCTAGGCCTCATCCACAGAGGTGAACAATAACTTTACTCAATGCTACTGTCTGAAAATGCTTATGCCTTTTCACCTCATTAACCTCAGTGTTCATTCTGGTCTCCAGTTCCATTAACTCTGGGTTGTCTGTGCTCAGAACGGTGCATTCTCACTCAGCATCTCCCTCACCAATTCCATTTCCTTCCCATAATAAGTCTGCTTAGTAATGCTCTAAGAAAGGTGCCACACGGCTGGAAGTGCAGCGTCAGGGCTTGTATGGCTTAGATCAGGTCAAAACTAGCAGATTTAGTTTGAGGAAGAAAAAATGAAATTAGAACTACTTAAAGAAAAGATGACATGGACTAAATGGAGTGTTTTGTAGTCTTATAAACTAAATTTTGAAGAGATATGTGCCTGGTTATTTCTGTGCCTATTGTGGATGATGCCACATGTCTGATCAGCCTTCCCTCCCAACAGCTATAAGTAAGATTGAAAACCTTCCTGACATCACTTCTGTTCAAAAAAGGACAGATGTGTCCAATGAAAGTTTATAGATTCTACACTGTAGATTATAAATTGAACATTGTTAAAATAAAATTGCACTTAAAGTTCCAAAGGGATTGAAATCACCTTTGATTTATCACTTCTCTCCACCCAGTCGTGTTCTCAGGCACATTCACCTTTGAAAGAATAACAGGTGCAGTCATACAGTTGCCAGCATCACTGCCAAAATAAAAATATCCGTCTTCCCTCGATCTCCAAGCAAGGCTCCCAGTTCTAATGAATCCCACAGAGAAGCATTTTTTTAAAAGAGTGAGTCTGTGTAATGTGTGCCAGTACATTCTAGAGAATGTGATGAACTCTTGGAACTAAACCAGGCAATGTGGTAAGTTTTCCACTGAAAACTTCCTACAGTAACCTTGGCACCTTTCTAGGGAACAAGAAGCTTCTATCATTAACACAGAAGATGCAATCGTAGCAGGCCAATCAGAGAAAGCACTGAAGCAGGGCAGCGGGGACCTTGTGGACTTGTTACTGGCCAGCTGACTCCTTTTGCTGAAACATATTCCTTTCCCCACAATGAAGCTAATTTATGAAACAGCAGACAGCCGTTATCTAACCGTCCCCATCCCCTACTCATAGAGCACTATGCTGTGTTGAAGATGAGGCTTATGTGAAAAGCTGTCACTGTTTTTACTGTTTAAGGATGACATGTATTAGTCATCCAACTGCTGATAGCTAGGGCCTTTCTCTTTTAAAGGCTTAGGGATTTTACTGACTGCCCTACCCCAAGCTGTCTTTCTCAGCACAGATTTTTCCCTCATTTTTGTACACACACACACACACACACACACACACACACACACACACATGTGTCTGTGCTTTATTCCTCCATACTTTCCCCTTGAGTCACTGGAGTTCTGATAGCTACTTTTGGGGGAATTTGTAACCACCTTCTTCAAATATAGAGTGGTTGAGCCTTCTCTCTCACACACACACTGGAGAGCATTACTGTCCAAGATGGCTCCCTCCCAGCTTCTCACCACAGGATATTCTATCACTGTATTCCTCAGTGGCTCCTCCTACTCTGCTGATCGACAGAGAATTTAACAGTGGGATTCCCTTAGGATTGCGGCCAGTGTCACTAGATACTGTTCAATTTACTTTGCTCATGTTATAGCCTTCCTAATCAGACTACAGAGAAATGGAAAACATGATTCTGACTATTAAAGCCCTTTTGACCCTCTGTTATGCTTCCAAAATAAAAATATCTTCCTTTCATTCAGTGTAATTTGCAGTGCCAATTTTAATTGCATAACTCTGCAGGTTTCTTCCATATGATGAAAAATACAATCTGAAAAATAGCATAATTCACAGGCTTTGACTGCCGTCACCATCAAATCAAATCAAATAAAAATTACATCTAATGATTACCAAGAAATCAATAATAAATACATATCAAAGGTTGCCTGCGCCTCAGTCTCTGTGAGTACAGTGCAAATACAGAATAAAACCACAAAGACAACATCCTTAACTCTTTGAAGCTTATATTCTGTTGGGGGAATCCAAGCAATAAACAAATAAAAAAAGATAAAAATATCAGGAAGTATAGGTACCTTGAAAAGAAAAAAAAAAAGGTGGAATTGGGAAACCACTCAGAAGGCAGCTCTTCATTGTCTGGATTTAGGTAGGTGTCACTGAGGAAGCAATAGTTGAAACGAGCTCTGAATGATGAGATGATTAAAGACTATTCTAGATGGAGGGAACCTACAATAAATTGGCTTCATGTTGGAGGAAAGCCAATATGACAGGAGTGTGGTGAGCTCAGGAGAACAACGCCTAAGACCTGGTAAGAAATCATAGAACCAGATCACGTCTGACAGCATGTGAGGACTGAGGAGAAATTGAGTCAGGTGTGGTGGCTCCTGGAAGGGGAGGCTGAGGCAGGAAGATGAAAGTTAAAGACTTGTCTGGGCTATATAGCAAGACTCTGCCTTGAAAATGAAGGGGAGAAATATTAGGGGTACATGGTAAGCATTAGATCTGCAGGGGAAGGGCAGTATCACCTTTGAGAGGGGAATTCTTGGTGAAATACTGGAAAAGCCAATTGGGAGGATTATAGAGACTTCATGAAGCGAAGCGCTAGAAGAAAATGACAATAACCCTTTAAAGGCAATTTTACTCTAAAGGGAGATAAAAGTGGGAAAATATTGCAACATTAAAGGAAGGTTAATGGTGTGTTCTTGTTTTTTTTTTTGGTTTTGTTTTTTTTAAGTCGAAGATTGACACTTGGTAAAAGAAATTGATTCCTTATCTCCAATTAGACCCCCTACTACAAATTTTATTCTCTGTTATAATAGCACTACAACCTAAAAGTAACAGCCATATGTAAAGGATAAAGAAATGCTAGAAAATAAGAAATTTTCCTCTAAATGCATGTTTATTTATCTTTTAGTTCCATGACTGTATGACTCAGAGAAAAGTATATGTTGTTTTACTAGTTGTCAGATGACTTTAATAAGTTCTCATGTCCTGATTTTACTGTTTTAATGTTAAATAGTTAATTATTTAGTATCCTAGAGGCTAAACATGGGTAAAATCTCTGTGGTATTGGTGAGACCAGTCAGAGACACCAACTGATTGGGCTAATTGGTGCTCTGAGGGGGACAGGGTCCTCCATGATCTTGATCCCCATCTGTAACTAGAGGATATGAAATCTCCACGCACCTTCTGGTGCTCTGCTTTGTGATGCCTTCTCCTGGGCCATTGTGCTGACAGTCACAGTCACCCATGCAGCTGGACCACCCAGCTTCTTAGAAACCTACAGAAATGTTCTGCTTAGAAACAACAACAACAACAAAAAGCTCTAAAAAGCACACAGAGACACTTTGTGGAAGCTTGCATGGTCATACTTTCCTTCTCCACCTACCACACACACACACACACACACACACACACACACACACACACACACGCACACAAAATCCCATTCTCTGAGAATCATGAAAGAAGCAAATGGCTGCTGGAGATGTTGGTATACTACTACCAACAACAGTATTTTTCACCAGAAATATATTTTAATGGAAGATTTCTTATCTGAAGATTTCTGCTTCATTAATTATTAGTAAAGGAATCAAGTCACTGTGAAGAATCCTCACCCATTCTTTGGCTGGGTGGGTGGGGAGGCAGCAGAAGAGGAAAAGCCTCGGCCTGGCAGTATTACCTCTGAGGAATTTCTTTTTCTGCTTTATAGATGGTGTCAACACCAGCCCTGTGCCCAGCCCTGCTTCAGAAGATGCAGTTGATGCATGTAAAGATGAAGGTAGGAGGCCATATCAAAATTCACAGACCCTTCCAAGTAAACTATGTGGGGTTTGTTTATATGGAAAATTGAGGCAGCAAGCAACTGTCAGATTCTAAGTTTTTCTATTTCCAACACAAAGGTCCTGCCCACTCTGTTTCATTCCATAGCTAGTCTCTTCAGAATTCACATATACATTTACATTTGTTCCTCTGAAAGTGTTTATAAAATAAGATCAGGAGCAGAGAAAGCATGGTTAGAAGAAAATATTTGAAGTACAAGAATTTGTCAATTCTGCTGGTTATAAATACTTATTAGGCATAGGTTTGAAAGAATGGCACTGAAGACCACCTTCCAGAGGTATTCGTGTCCAAAATGAAATGTTTTCAAGGCATTCTTAAAAGTAAATGGGGACATGGAAGGATGGAGAGAGGGCTCAGTGGTTAAGAGCACCGACTGCTCTTGCAGAGGGCCTGGGTTCAGTTCCCAGCATGCACATGACACCTAACAACGACATAATTACTCCAGTTTCAGTGGTCTGACGTCCTCCTCTATCCTCCATGGGCATTCCAAGTACATGGTGCACCTACATACATGCAGGCAAAACACGAGAGATGAGAGAGGGAGAGGGAGAGGGAGAGAGAGGGAGGGAGGGAAACACATTTGCACATTTGCAGAGCTCCCATTTCCAGTCATGTGGAATCCTCAGGCAAGAAGGAGGGGAGAGAGAGAGGGAGAGGGGAGAGAGAGAGAATCAGAGGGAGGGAGGAAGGGAGGGAGGGAGAGGGAGAGAGAGAGGAGGGAGGGAGGGAGGGAAGAGAGGAAAGCAAGCAATGAACAATAAACCTAGGGCAAGATCACCACTTGATGTGCCATTACTAAGAGAAAACCTTGCTGGCCCAAGCATGTCCATAAGATAAATGATTAAAATACATTGTTTCCTTTTTAGGGATAAGTACTGTGGTACAAGGATACAAAACCTTAACAAATTAAAAGAAAACAAAATAGTCCTTTCTTTCTTCTCCCCCTCCTGCCATTGTCTGGCTAATCTTCCCATACAAAGTTACAATTTATAACCGCCATTTGTGCTACTAAAACTCTGTGTGACTGACAGATTAGATTGTTATATTTGAAAAAAAAAAGGATGTCTAGTAAACCATGTAATCTACTTGGAGCTTAAATATGTATGTTGAATGCAAACAGGTGCACACTGCCACTGAGATTTCCTATTCTTTTCAATCTGTGTTTAGGAAATCAAAGTAGTCTTGTAATTTTAATACTCAGTTAGTGGCATCTTTAATTCCATTTCTCATTGCCTGGTAAGTTTTTAAAATGTTTTCAATCAAGTGCAATTGAGGACAGTTGATAAGTATATGAATAATGGTTTAAGCCATGCCATTGGTCATTTAGGTGATCTTTAACAAACAATTCAAGTACTTAATAAGGAATTTGTAAGTAATGATTAGGAGTGAGCTTCTTTGTATTTTTATTTTCTCCTCTGTATAATGGAACAAAAATAATGTCTACTTTGGGGATAGAGACATGGCACAGTGAGTAAGAGCACTTCTATGAATGCATGTGGACCTAAGTTCATAGTCCAAGCACCCAAGCTAGGTGTGCTGTCACATGCCTGTAAATTCCAGCACTTGTAAGTCTGAGGCAAGAGGATCAAGACCTCAAGGCCAGCACCACCTATACTTCAAAATTGAAGGCCATTGAGGCCATTATGGACTAGAATAAAGCCTGTCTAAAAAAGTATAAAAGCAATGGGAGAAAACCCCCACATAGTTCCCAACATCTATGTATAGCACACTTGCAACCCCAGCTCTGGAGTTGAGGGGAGGGCAGAAAAATGAGACTTGCTTTCTGCCAGATTATGTCCAGTTTCAGTGTGTGTGTGGCGGCGGGGAGGGGGGGCGCTGTCTCCAGGAAATAAATCAGAACATGATAGGGCAGGATACCAAATGTCTTTCTCTCTCTCTCTCTCTCTATCTCTCTCTCTCACTCTCTCTCTC